AGCTTTGTCTTGGACAGGACACTGGGGGGGGGGGGAGACACAAAAATAAAAGTTTAATTTAAAACTTCCTAGAATAGAAAGCAATTCAAACATAAGGCAGACAAGACTTGGGCAAAAGCGAATACGTTTGACTTCAAAGGACAATTCTTTCCCTCCGCACCTACCGGAATGTCATTGTCACCCAGGTCCTGCTCACCATCGGCCAACAAAACACGCTGACAACGTTTTTCCTGATGGCAGTGGAGAGATATTAGAGCACACTGCACAGGGAAGCTGGGGCTGTCCCAGCCCTGCAAGTGTTCCAGGCCAGGCTGGGGGGGACTTGGAGCAACCGGGGACAGTGGAAGGTGTCCCTGCCCCCGGAACACAGGGGGGCCTTTAAAGGTCCCCTTCCAACCAAATCACTCTGGGATTCCCCTCCAAAAGAACTACCAAAGAGACACAGCAATCAAAGCACAGGGACTGCACGTCCAGCTTTCCTTACCTGCAGGCACACAGCATGTTGGACAGAAAAGCCATGGGGTTAGTCCTACCACAGGTGTCCGGCACACACACGGCAACCGAAGGAAAAGAGGAAGCCTGGGAACACAGAGCAAAAGCCATTGAATGAGGAGTACACTGAGCAACAGCCAGGTCATTCTCACACACAGCTTCACTGGCCAGTCACACAAAAAGCACTCCCCCAGGCCTCGGGTAGGGTGGTTCCTGACGCTGACCGGGAGAATCCCTCCATTTGCCCCGGGGTGTCAAGAACATTTGCTTCACTGTCCCGAGGACAGAAACAAACAAAACCACACCACCAGACCGAATTCACCCGCAGAAGCCCAAATTCACCGAACGCCCGCTGAATTCAGCAGGAACACGCTCCCTCGACCACAAGGCATCCTTAGGACGTCTCAGGCTCCGGATTTAAGCTCTGAGAAGCCCGTGAGTGACAAAACACTCCCGCTCCCCGCGGGCGCCGCTTCCGAGCCCCCCACGAGCGCCGGGCCCTGAGGCCTCGCAGTCGCCGCCTGGCGGACACGGCCGGGAGCGGCACTGCAGCCGCGCCCCCCCCTTGCAAGACCCGCGGCGCCTTTGGCAAGTGCGGCCCTTTCTTCCCTAAAACCTGCCCTTACCTAGGAAAAGCTGAG